CGCACACCTGTGGTCCCACTACTCAGGAGGCTGAGGCAGGAGAATGGCATAAACCTGGGAGGCGGAGCTTGCAGTGAGCCCAGATCATGCCACTGCACTCCAGCATGGACGACGGGGCGAGACTCTGTCTCAAAAAAAAAAAAAAAAAAAAATTCTAGAATGTCAAATTAGAAAAGTATATAGGGTATATGTTAAAATTGCTAACTCAGGAGAAGTCTGAAGCAGTTAAATTCTAAAATCAGAAATTATATCCAGGAGGTCAGGTATTTCATAACATTAATCCACAGGAAAGAAAAAAAGGTTATAAAATTTTTTTAAAAAGCATTTAACAAAAAAAAATACAATTTAAGGATTCACCTGAGAAAATACCTCAATACTGCTATACTTTCAAAAATGTTTAGAATCACATAAAAATTCACTTCAATAAAATAATGCTTCTGTAGTTTGGGGGTAAAAGTTTCTACCAAATAATCAGAGTCCCTAAAATGCTAAAACTAAAAATTTGCTACAAGAAACTTTCCACGTAATATTTTAAGATTTTTAGGGCGCAGTGGCTCACGCCTGTAATCCCAACACTTTGGGAGGCCGAGATGGCAGATCACGAGGTCAGCAGATCAAGACCATCCTGGCGAACACAGTGAAACCCTATCTCCACTAAAAATACAAAAAAATTAGCCGGGCGTGGTGGCGGGCACCTGTAGTCTCAGCTGCTGCTCGGGGAGGCTGAGGCAGGAGAATGCGGTGAACCTGGGAGGCGGAGCTTGCAGTGAGCCAAGATCGTGCCACTGCACTCCAGCCTGGGCGACAGAGCGAGACTCCGTCTCGAAAAAAAAAAAAGATTTTTAGAATTACCAAAATTAAATGTAGATCTGTTTAACTCCTGTCAATTTTAGGTATCACCACAAATACAACATCCTCTTAAGAATGATTTCTTAAGGCTGGGCACATTGGCTCACGCTTGTAATCCCAGGATTTGGGGAGGCCGAGGCAGGTGACTGCTTGAGTGCAGGAGTTCCAGACCAGCCTGGGCAACACGGTGAAACCTGTCTCTACAAAACACAAAAACCCGTAGTCACAGCTACTCAGGAGGCTGAGATGGAAGGATCACTTAAGCCCAGGGAGGTTGAAACTGCAGCACGCTGAGACTGCGCCACTGCACTCCAGTCTGGGTGACACAGTGAGACCGTCTCCAAAAAAGACAAGGTTTTTTAAAATGTAATTTAACTGTAATCTTACTTAGTGATACATTACTTTTTTCTAGGAAGAAACAATAGGAAGGAAAAGAAAAAAAGAAAACGAGTAAAGAATGCCTCAAAGGGATCACGTAAGTCTGAAAACCACTATCTTGAATTGTATATGGCAGAACTCTAGCAATTTTAGGGAGCAGAGCATCTCCAGCATTTACAGGTGTGCCAGGATATTGATCTCCCATCCCAGGAGTTTCATGAGGAGCTGCTGCCAGGTGCTTCTAGCCTCCCAATCTCATCATCTACTTTAGTGTACTATTCGAAACTTACTTTCTATGTGGACAGAACCTAAAAGATGGTTGAGACGCACTGACAGAATACATTAAAGCAGTTACTAGCTCAACTTTAAATACATACTCTCCAAAAGAAATTCAAAGTCTTACTTGTTTTACTGCATTGATCCTAAAGACTATTTAATTTTTATCAGGTAATGAAATCCCATGTTACATGTGTATAACATGGCATAAAAAAAAATACAGTTCCTCTTACAGCTTAAGTAACTTCTTCAGCAGCAGCAACACCTGGTGTGGGTAAGATAAAGAAATCTACTAAAAGCTTTTTGAGTAAGGACATGGTCATTCCATGTTACAGTTTATTTTTTCCTAATCGAAATCCCCAAATGATCAATTTCCTAGCCTTCCATGTTTTTTCTCCACTGCACTATCACCTTCTAATATAGTAACACACTTGGCCAGGTGCAGTGGCTCACACCTGTAATCCTAGCACTTTGGGAGGCCGAAGCGAGAGGATCACTTGAGGTCAGGAGTTCAAGACCAGCCTGGCCAGCATAGCGAAACCCAGTCTCCACGAAAAACACAAAAAAATTACCTGGTCGTGGTGGCCAGCACCCGTAATCCCAGCTACTCAGGAGGCTAAGTAGGAGAATTGCTAGAACCCTGGGAGCAGAGGTTGCAGCGAGCCGTGATTGCACCACTACACTCCAGAATGGGCGACACAGTGAGACTCCATCTCAACACAAAAAACAAAAAACAATTAACTTAAATATGCTGTTATTATCTGTCTCTTCTTACCAGACTATTTATTATTAAATCCATGAGGGCAAAAATCTTGTTCGCTTTTGTTCATTGCTATAACCGCGGCACCTAGATAAGTGTCTGACACACAGAGGGCCCCCAAAAGGTAACTGGCTCAGTGATTAAACAAATTTGATAATTTGATTGAAGATTTATGTATAATCTAGTTGTCTTAAAAGAGCCAGATGTTGCCATTAAGATAGGATATAAATTCTGTACAACAAAGATACAGAATAACCACACAGAAAGTAGGGCTGTCTTTCAAAAAGCCTGACTTATACATATTTAAATATTCTTAAAGATACTACCAGAAAATCTGCACTAGATATTTTAAAATACAAACAAAAGGAAAAGACTTTTTACTTTAATAAAAAGAGTTAAGCATCCATTTTCCATTCCTCTAACCAGAAAACACAGAAGAATAGAGAGTGATAAGATTTAGATGGAATAAGGTGAAGGAAAAACTTCAAAGAGTGGTAAGACAGTCTGAGGTAATACTTAGGGCACAGAAAAATGCACTATTGCACTATCAATCAAGTATTTGTTTCCATTGCTTAAGACATCATGTAGGCCGGGCACGGTGGCTCACACCTGTAATCCCAGCACTTTGGGAGGCTGAAGTGGGCGGATCACCTGAGGTCGGGGGTTCAAGTCCAGCTTGACCAACATGGAGAAACTCCTGTCTCTACTAAAAATACAAAATTAGCTGGGCGTGATGGCCAATGCCTGTAATCCCAGCCACTCGGGAGGCTGAGGCAGGAGAATCACTTGAACCCGGGAGGCGGAGGCTGCGGTGAGCCGAGATCGCCCCCACTGCACTCCAGCCTGGACAACAAGAGCTAAACTCCGTCTCAAAAAAAAAAAAAAAAAAAAAAAAAAAAAAAAGACACCATGTAAAGTTCAACATTACCAACCTTTCTCTTACAAACAAATCTGCCTTTTCCAGATACTAAATCTAACCAGATGGCACACTACGTTCTCTTGTCAAATATTATCACGAGTGTTGTGGATTTTAATCTTAATTTTTACTCTCAAATAATGTTTTAATCTTAATACAGATAATCTTAAACTTGTCATAAAAAATGTTTTAATCTTAACACAGATAAAAATCTTTAAGTGGTCATGTAGCCTATTGCATCTACTGTTCAACTAGCATTCCACAGTTCCTTTTCTTGGCCTCAAATGACGAAACTTCTCTAACGTCTCTGGGGGACTAGTGTAAAGTATAATGTTTCCTGAAATTGTTCCTGTTTTTTTCCCTGCACCATTCGTGACATCTCTTCAACTAGAAATGTTACATAAAACTTTTCTGTTCTGCAGGCAAGTCCAGAGGGAGAAGCAAAAGTAAAGAGAATATTGTAAGGAAAACAGGTTGAAAGGGGAATAACATAAAAGCACAGGAGTAAATGTGAAGCAAAGATATATTTGTACAAAAGAGGAAGAAGTTGCAGAAAAGGGAAGAAAAACACTTTTAGCAGAGAAAAGAAAAAAAAATGGAGGAGGAACAGAGACTTGCTTCTTTCAGAAACAAAAGCAAAAAACACTTCTAAGAAAACGTGGTCTCTTTACCCAAGGGGATATTATTAAAACGCTAAAGAGTATTCAGCTGACACTCCTATTGAGTGTTCTACTTTCTCTTCCAATGTCTTTGATACCGCTAGTCTTCACCTATGAATTAAATGCAGGCTATAGATAACGCAGCCAATCTCTACAAAACTACAATTGTGGTTGCCATCTTTGCCTGAAAACAAAAACACAAAAAACCCGCAACTCCCTGAATTCGGGAAAAAGGAGTAAATTAAGTTGGAAAGCCAGAAAACCACGCCTTGCTAAGTCGGGTGGATGTGGCACAGGTTAACAAACGCCTCCTACCAAACTAAGGTTCCACTAAAGGTCTGCGAATAAGGGCAAAGAGATGTATAGCCTTATCGCGACCGCAAGGGTGGGGCCTTGTAGGGGGAAACAAAATAAAGGGCGAGCTATCCCGAAAGGTTTCAGGGGGCTGAGGACTTGGCTCTCGGGAGATCGCCCATCAGGCAGTGGACTCGGGGCAGCTTCGAGAGGAGGAGACACTGGACTGCTGAAGTAATGTCCGCGAGAATGCCGAGGCTGATGGAAAGAGAGGATACCCACGGGCACAGGATTAAGAGTCAAAGGGAAGAAGAGAGAGACGGGGCCAAGCAGTCTGGGGGGCCCGGCGTGGGAGGCCGGAGCAGAGGCCGCTAAGCGCCGTCCGCAGCCAGTCGCCTTCTCCGGAGACGCCTTCTCGGCTCCCCCACACTCAGCCCCTCGCCGCCCCTGCCCCGGCAACAACCGCGGGCGCAGCTGTTTCCGTCGGGCCAGGGACAGCGGGGGTAAAGGCAACCCTGGGACTGGCGGGCAGCAGACTGGCAGTGGCCGTGTGTGTGTGTGTGTGTGCGCGGGGAGCCGATTCTGAGGCTGCCAACACCAGACTTCGCCCTTTCTCCCCCAAGCCTCCTTTATCACCCAACTTCCCGGCCGGCTGGTGTCCGCTTCGACCGACGGATACCGCACCCCCCCAACGCCTCTCGCCGCCTCTTACCCCTCCCCCGACGCCCTGAGCTGAAGGAAAACAAGCCACCCGGGCCGATCCCGAACCCGCCCGGGTGTCCCCGAATCGCGGACGCCACCCCCGCCCGAACGCTGGCACTCTCTCGGCGGCTCCCTGGCCCGCCCAGATGCAGCAAACTCCTCTCACCTGCATTGACGCCATGATGGAACCATCCCCCCAAGACCGGCGAGGCCAGAGACGCAGGGGGAGGAGCTGCCGTGCTCGCGTCACGCCGCGGGGGCTCAACATCCCGGGCGCGGAGGCGGGGCCTACGATGGGAAGGTGATGGCGCGAGGGGATTGGCTGGCGCGCAGGGCGGACGGGAGGAGGGGCTAGGGGGCGGGGCGAGGACGTGGTAAATGGCGCTCCGAGTACCTTCGGTCTCAGTCCGGCTCGCCGCTCCCGCGTCGGTCTTCCGTTTACTCTGGTTACTGAGGAGACACGGCTCCAGTTTTGACCCGGCTACGGTTGTTTTCTTCTTGTGTACCGCGTAATCCTGATGCCGTCCGGATCAGCTCAGATTTTTTTCTATTTCGTTTTGGTTTTCCAAACACAGCTGTGCGGTTCACAGATTTTTCTCTTGGGATGTGTTTTCCATACCGTCAAGCCCACTCTGAGAGCCTTGGGGCCCCATGAAACTTCCCGCGCAGCTGCTTTCTGGTCCTTGTAGACCTGGGAAGCTTCTTGTATTCTTAATCTGGGGAAGAGAGACATAGGTTTCCTTGTACAACAGGATGAGGATTTAAGAGCAAAACGACACTGATATTTTAAAGGCGAGGGTATTTAGATTTGTGGAGCTGAAACTTGCCTGAAAGGGGAGAGAAAATTTGGAAGTTTGTTGTGTACAGTTTCTGCCCCTTACCCCAGCCCTTCAGTTTTAAACTTCGCATGTATCAACAGTAGTTACGGTTGTTGCGGCAGTCTAAATTTGATTATCAGAATTGACCCTAGGCATGAATTTTTTAAAATATACTGAATTTTTAAAAATATACCAGTGTTGTGTTATATACACTTAGACCATTATGTCCAGACTTCTCTTAAGCCTATTTCGTGGTGGGCAGTTTTGTGGTCAGTTAGGGATGAACTTGGGTAGGGAAAGCTGAGCATACATAATTTATTTTAGGAATGCACCAGTTCTGCCAACATTTATCAGAAGTCACGTTTTAAAAAAGCTATTCTGGAACTGAAGATGTCATTGGTTTATAAGAGGAAAATGGAAGCCAAAAGCTTGCACCTCATGCTCTATCTTTAAAAATTAAGGTGGCAGACACAATGAGTAGAAGGCTTTTATGTTACCAGAATGAAGGCTTAAAATCTGTCATTTTATTGACTCGGCTTTCTTTTTAGAAATTTCTTTAAGATATAAAAGCAATGCAGAATATCACTGTTTCACACTCTTAAAATAGATTACGTTCTCTGGAACTTCTCTAATCTGAAATGTGTTCAAAAAGGAAAAAGATCTTTAAAATACGCCAGTTAGTCTATGGCATAATATTAAACACTACTCATCACTAGAGAAGTTACGGTGGTATACCCTCCCCTCTCTCAGATGTCCACCCTAATGCCAGAAATGAGCGGAGTTTCCCTTTGTTGTGCAAAATGACTGTGTCCTTGAGGGATGTTTGGATGCTCTTGGTAAACCGGAATCAACCAGAAGCATATCCGGTGTTAGCCCTGTTGTGTCATCAACATTACAACAGTGAGGAAACCCACGTATCCCAATGAAAGAGGAAAACTTAAAGAAGTTTCCAGTATATTTTCTTTGAGATGTCTTTATTTCTGTGACCTCAGAAGATCAGGTTTTACTGTCCAAGGTTCACTTTGCCTAAAAGCTGATTGTTCCTATGGAAAAAGTAGTGTCGGATGACCCTACAAACAAAGCATTATGACATCGTCAGAGCCAACAACCTACCATGACAGATACTAATGAGGAAAAAAGAGGTTACAAGAATTCTGACACTCATCACAGTGGAACCAGTATCTGGTCCCTTGGGTTTCATATATGTTAGAAGTATCTTCACAGGAGGGAAAGGTCAATGCCAGTAATCCTTTCTAGGTAATACTAAATAGCACATAATAACCTGTCTTCTTTTTTTTTTTTTTTTTTGAGACGGAGTCTCACTCTGTCACCCAGGCTGGAGTGCAATGGCGCGATCTTGGCTCACTGCAACCTCCGCCTCCCAGGTTCAAGTGATTCTCCTCTCTCAGCCTCCCAAGTAGGTGGGATTACAGGTACACACCACCATGCCCAGCTAATTTTTTGTAATTTTTTGTATCTTTAGTAGAGATGAGGTTTCACCATGTTGGCCAGCCTGGTCTTGAACTTCTGACCTCGTAATCCACCTGCCTCAGCCTCCCAAAGGGCTGGGATTACAGGTGTGAACCACTGCGCCCAGCCATTCTTTTGTTAATATTTAATAAAAAGATCCTGACATAGGAGCCAAAACAGTGACTTACAGATGGTGTGGGGGGTATGTAATTATCTCCAGTGAGCATATAATGTTAATATCTAAAACACTATTATGCAATGTTTGAAGACTAGGCTCATATCTCTACAGAGCAAGCGTTACTATCATTACTATCAGGCAAAAGTTAAAATGTCTGACAGGATAATGCCAGTGCACTTCAGTGTAGGTGACAGAGCAAGACCCTGTCATCTCAAAAAAAAAAAAAAAATCTGATAATACCAAAAGTGAGAGAGGAAGTGGAGCTCTCATAAACTCTATAGGAGTGACACTGGTGCAATCACTTTGGAAAACAGTTCAGCAATAATGAAGTTAAAGTTTCCCATATCCTTACTGGATCTTCTCAATAACATCATATGTAATTATATATATATATATATAATTATTTATATATATATATATTTATATTTTTAGTAGAGACGGGGTTTTGTCTGGTCTCGAACTCCTGGCCTCAAGTGATCCACCTGCCTTGGCCTTCCAAAGTGCTGGGATTACAGGCCATGCTTGGCCACGTAAGAGATATATTGAACAAATGCATATGTTAACATTGTTTGGATCTAGATTCAAACAAACTGTAAAAAAGATATTTTTGAGACACCTGGAGAAAATTAAATATAGAGTAGATATTAGAAAATATTAAGGAATTGTTATTTTTGTTAGATTTGATAATGATGTTCACTTTTTCATTTCCCCAGCAATTAGAAATGACCATCAGGTTACAAGGAGGAGATTCTCCCTCATCTCACAAACTACCTGCATCTCCACTTCCCTGGAAGAAAAAAACAAAAACAAAAACAAAAAAACTGGACATACCTGAGCTGTGTATGTGCCTGAGATCTTCCCTTCCAAGGTAAAGAGAGAGCCTGAGACAGGTGTACGTTAGCATCTGGACTTTCTGCTAGTAAAGAAAAGGGAATATGGGAAACTAAATAGTAACATTAAAGGACCTACAAAGGGACTACTGGGTAAATGCTACAACGAATAATGTAATGTGATTGATGAATGCTTTTGTTCTAGTGATTTATTAAACTGGAAAGTCAGAAGCAGTCCTGTGAACATTTGTTTGTTGAAGCATGAAAAGGCAGAGTTGACGAGTCCTTGCTTGAGTCTATGCCTCCACCTAGTAGTTTGTTCTTAGTCTCCTAGGGGCTGATCTCAGCAGAGAAATGGAGACAGTTCAGTCACCAACAGTTTGTTACTGGATTTTGGAAAAGGCACCAAACTAAGAATCCAAGGCTTGTATTCTTATCTTAGCTCTGTCATTAACAAGATTGGGTAAGTCTTCTAATCTTTCTGGGTTTCTTTCCTCATCAATAAAATGAGCAAGTCAGACTGCATAATCTTTATGGTTTCTTCCACATTTCAAATTCCATGCGTCTATTAGAGAGAATCAAAATTGTACATGATTTGTCTAAAATACCATGTTAAAAAGTCTAACATAAAATGCAATGGGAATTACATAGCATTTTGAGTTTAAAAATCACTTTTGTAAATATATTAAGGAATGAACTTGGCTTCATTGCAATTTATGTAGAAATACTGGGAAGTGGAGGGGGTTTGGTTAACAGTTTTAAAATGCTAATGCAATCCAGTCAAAATATAGATGGGATTTCATAAAGTAGCAAAAATTCTATATTCATAATTCAGAGTGATAACAAATGCATATCTATAAAGCAAAAGAATATTTTTAAAAATAATTTTAAATCCCAAGCAGTCATTTCATTTAAGTCTTCTAATAAAGGACGAAGAAAATGAACAAAATAACAATGGTTTGTACGTGTGACTTATTTTGAGTGTAACTTATTCTACATGTCAAAAACAGTTGATTTATATACCTATATAGTTTGCAAAGAAAATTGTCTACCAGGAAAAGTTTTACTTTATTCCCCATTTTTACCCTTCTCTAGCAAGAGTTCTTTTATCCATGTCTGCAACCCTTGATATTCCCTGCTTATTTCTCACCTAGACCTCTTACCAAACATGTTCATAGCAAGCCATTACTTGAAAAGACTGTGGTTTCTTTTTATTTTTTATTTTTGACAGGGATCTCATTAAAAATTAAATGAAAGCCATGGACCCACTCCACAAACAAATACATATACCCATGAAAATTTGTATTTCAGGAAGTTACCGGACCCTTAGAAGTTCATCCATCAGGGTCAGTCATGGTGGCTCATGCTTATAATCCCAGCATTTTGGGATGCTGAGGCAGGAGGATCACTTGTGCCCAGGAGTTTGAGACTAGCCTGGGCAATATAGTAAGACCCCATCTCTACAAAAAAATTAGCTGGGCATGGTGGCGCATGCCTACTACCTGGGAGGCTGAGCTGAGAGGATCACTTGAGCCAAGGGTGTCAGGGCTGCAGTGAACTGTGATCATGCTACTGTGCTCCAGCCTAGGTGAGAGTGAGGCCCTGTCCCCCACCCAAAAAAAAAAAAGTTTATCCATCAGATCAGCAGCAGAGGTATATAAACCTCAAGATAAGGCAGGACTTGGTGGCTCACACCTGTAATCCCAGCACTTTGGGAGGCTGAGGGGGGCAGATCACCTGAGGTCAGGAGTTAGAGACCAGCCTGGCCAACATGGTGAAACCCTGTCTCTGCTAAAAATACAAAAATTAGCCAGACATGGTGGCACGTGCCTGTAATCCCAGTTACTTGGGTGGCTAAGGTAGGAGGATAGTTTGAACCCGGGAGGCAGAGGTTGCAGTGAGCCAAGACCATGCCACTGCACTCCAGTCTGAGTGACAGAGGGAGACTCTTTCTCAAAAAAAAAAAAAAAAAAAAAAAAAGATCGCTTTTCCCTTGTACAGAAGCCGGATTTTAGGCCAGGCATGGTGGCTCACATCTGTAATCCCAGCACTTCGGGAGGCCGAGGCAGCCAGATTACTTGAAGTCAGGAGTTCGAGACCAGCCTGGGCAGGACACTGAAACTCCATCTCTACTAAAAATACAAAAAATTAGCCAAGCATGGTGAGAGCACTTGTAATCCCAGCTACTCGAGAGGCTGAGATAGGAGAATGGCTTGAACCCCGGAGGCAGAGGTTGCAGTGAGCCAAGATGGTGCCACTGCACTCCAGCCTGGGTGACAGAGTGAGACTCCGTCTCAAAACAAAAAACAAACAAAAAAAGCTGGATTATAGGAAAGAAAAAAAAAAAACTTTTCATGAAGAGATGTAGATACCAGCTCAATCTCTTGCCCTTCTAAAATTTTCTTTTCTTTTTTTTTCTTTTTTTTGAGACATAATTTTGTAACACTTGTTCTCTTCTTGTTCAGTTGTTTGTTTTCTGGTCTTCCTGAAAATCAGGATGCTGTGCGAAAAACCCTGGATTGGGAACCAGAAGAGTTGAGCGCTCATCTTGATCCTTCCCAGGAGTGATACTAAACTTGTTTAACAACAGGTGTGGCGCAGGTACCAACCATTCAGAACGAGGCTGCTTATTACCGCTGTGGGGTCCTGAAAAGTCTCTGCTGAGTGGACTGGGTATCTTTAGTTAGATCATGGGGAATTCCAGGTTTCAGGGGTGGTTGAGAGGCTATGGATAGGAGGTTCTTTGGGAGTCTGAGATCAACAGCAATTTCCTCACCACCGTAGAACTATTTTAATGTTTTATTTTTGCTGTGATGGAAATATCACACCAAATGAGTAGGTCATTTAACTTCTTTAAACTTTAGCTTCTTTATTTGTAAAATGAGAACAAAATTTCCAACACATGATTTATGGTAGGGTCTAAAAAAGATCATGGATGTGAAGGATCTTTGTGAATTGCATAGCACCACATTGACGAGAAGCGATATCTAATTTTCCTTCCTCATTACTCAGTGCTCTCTGTCCAGTAAGCAGGTGCAATGTTCACTGGAGATAAGGAATAGGGTATATGACAGTGACTGAGAAATACCTCTGCCAATATTGTCAAATTTTGTACCACTTATGAACATAGAAGAGTCTGGGCAGGCCAGGCATGGTGGCTCACGCCTGTAATCCCAGCACTTTGAGAGGCCAAGGTGGGTGATCACCTGAGGTCGGGAGTTCAAGACCAGCCTGACCAACATGGACAAACCACATCTCTACTGAAAATACAAAATTAGCCGGGTGTGGTGGCGCATGCCTGTAATCCCAGCTACTCCGGAGGCTGAGGCAGGAAAATCGCTTGAACCCAGGAGGCAGAAGTTGCAGTGAGCTGAAATCGTGCCACTGCACTCCAGCCTGGGCAATAAGAGGGAAACTCCATTTAAAAAAAAAAAAAAAGACCCCATAAAGACCCTCATAATTCCCACTGTGTGAGGCACAGCGGAAAGATAGCTGTCCATAAAGCAGTAAGTGAGCCCTCATTAGACACTGAACCTTCCAGTGCCTTGATCTTAGATTTCCCAACCTCCAGAACTGTGAGAAATAAGTTTCTGTTGTTTATAGGCTGCCTAGTTGATGGTATTTTGTTATAACAGCTCAAATGGACTGAGACACTTTGAACAGAGCTTGCTATAGACAAAATTTCAAGGTTGGAGCCAGAGCAGTTAGGCAAGAGAAATAAATAAAAAGCATCCAAATTGGAAAAGAGGAAGTCAAATTGTCCCTGTTTGCAGATGACATGATCTTATATATCAATAAAACCTAAAGACTCTACCAAAAAACTCTTAGAACTGGTAAATTAAAGTTATAGGACACAAAATAAATATACAAAAATCAGTAGTGTTTCTATACATTAACAATCAACTAGCTGAAAAGGAAGTCAAGAAAGCAATCCCATTTACAGTAGCTACAAAAAATAAAATAAACTACCTGGGAATAAATTTAACCAATGAGTGCGAGGCCTCTACAAGGAATACTACAAAATACAAACAGAAGAAACTGAAGAGCATACAAACAAATTGAGAGACATCCCATGCTCGTGGATCAGAAGAATTAATATTATTGAAATGACCATACTACTCAAAGCAATCTTCAGAGTCAGTCAAAATCCCAACAGGCATTCTTCACAGAAATACGGGGAAAAGCTCTAAAATTTGTATGGAACCACAAAAGACCCCAAATACCAAGGGAATCTTGAGCAAAAAGAACAAAGCTAGAAGTATCCATACTACCAGACCTCAAAATATACTACAAAGTTGTAGTAATGAAAACAGCATGGTACTGGCATAAAAACAGACACACAGACCAATAGAACAGAATAGAGAACCCAGAAATTAATCTACATATCTACAACCAACTTATTATTAACAAAGGTGCCAAGAATACTCACCAAGGAAAGGCCAGTCTCTTCAGTAAATGGTGCTGGAGAAACTGGATATCCACATGCAAAAAAACGAAACTAGGCTGGGCACAGTGGCTCACACCTGTAATCCGAGCACTTTGAAAGGGTGAGGCAGGAGGATCAGTTGAGCCCAAGAGTTTGAGGCAGGAGGATCAGTTGAGCCCAAGAGTTTGAGACCAGGCTGGGCAATGCAGCGAGACCCTGTCACCACAAAAATAAAAAATCACCCAGGCATGGTGGCACATGTCTGTGGTCTCAGCTCCTTGGGAAGCTGAGGTGGGAGGATGGCTTGGGCCCAGGAAGTTGAGGCTGCAGTGAGCCATGACTGTGCTGCTGCACTCCAGCCTGGGCAACAGAGTGAGACCCTGTCTCAAAAAGAAAAAGGAAAAAAAATACATGAATGAAATTATGAAATTACATCCCCACCTTTCACCCTATAAAATTAACTCAAAATGGATCAAAGACCAAAATATAAGATTCAATATCATAAAACTACTAGAAGAAGATATAGTGGAACTGCTTCAGAACATTGGTCTGGGAAAAGGTCTGGGAATTCCCAGAAATTGGTCTGGGAATAAGACCTCAAAAGCACAGGTAACAAAAGCAAAAATAAACAAATGGGATTATATAAACTACAAGCTTCTGCATAGCAAAGAAAGCAATCAACAGAGTTAAAAGACAACCTACAAAATGGAAGAAAATATTTGCAAACTAATTGACAGGGGATTAATATATAGAATATACAAGAAACAAAATTTTTAACTTAATTTTATTTTTTGAGACAGGGTCTCACTCTGTCATCCAAGCTGGAGTGTGGTGGCACAATCACAGCTCACCACCTCGACCTCCCGGGGTCAAGCAATCCTCCCACCTCAGCCTCTTGAGTAGCTGATACTACAGGTGCACACTGCTGCACCTGGCTAATTTTTTTTTTTTTTTGTAGAGACGAGTCTTACTATGTTGCCAGGCTGATCTTCAACTCCTTGACAAAAGCAATTCTCCTGTCTCAGCCTCCCAAAGTCCTGGGATTATAGGTGTGAGTTACCATGCCCAGCAGAAATGGAAACATCTCAACAGCAAAAAACCCCAAACAATCTGCTTTTTTAAATGAGCAAATGATCTAAACAAACATTTCACAAAAGAAGAAATGGCCAACACATATATTAAAAAATGCTCAGCATCATTAATCATCAGGGAAATGCAAATCAAAACCACAATGAAGTAACAACTCACCACAGTTACAATGGCTATCAAAGACAAAAAGTAACAAACACTAGTAAAAATGCAGAGAAAGGGGAACTTTTATACACTGTTGGTGGGAATACAAACTAATAGAACCACTATGGAGAACAGGATGGAAGTCCCTCAAATAAAACAAAAATAGAACTAACATATGATCCAGCAATCCCTCTACTGGGAATTTATCCAAAAGAAAGGAAGTCATTCCAGCAAAGAGACATCTGCACCCCCCTGTTTATTGCAGCACTATTCACCAGAGCCCAG